TAATATATAATATATATATAATCACTAGAAACTACTGCGAGAATCCTCAGGGAGCTGAAGAAGAAATGCTTCCTTGGTGAGAAAACTGTTTTGTTTTCCAAAGTTTTTGTTTGGGTTCGCAATTACGGAGCGAGTTTTAATTAAAGCAAAGTAAAAAACTGCATAATAATTGGTGTGTGTGTGTGAGTCAACCTTATTATTTTGAAAGCACAGCTTGATTGCAAACTATTATGTTCTGCTCCTACTGTAGCTCAGCAAAACACATGTTGAGTGAATGGAGGGAGGTTGATTTTTAACCTGGTTCTCCTCTGTTTCTTTGTCACATGACACTGATTTAATAAATAATCTGAAAGACCCAAAACATCAGAAAAAATAACCTTTAAGACACCTCTCATAGTTTGCTTTTTTTCAAAAGGTGGAAGGCTAGTCATGGCATGTTATCTTTTGTGTTCCCGCATGTATAAATCTTGGTTTCTATGGGTTCTTTGCTCAAAGAGTTAGCATCCATCATACAATACATATTTCTGACATGACTTTCTATAGGGCCTGTCCAAGAACCGGTCAATGTATTTAAATAGCTTGGGAGGGCTTTCCATACCAAAAGTACTTGGAAGACACATCGGGACCATAAGATGCCATCAGCCATTAAGTCTTCAAATGCCATCCCAGAGGCAGAGGACAATTAGTGCCCAGAGCCTTAAAACTTTTTGAGGCTAAACTATTGACATCCTGTTTTGCAGTTGGCATAACAATACCCTTGAACAGTTTTATCTTTGTGTTAATACTTATAGTTGCCATAGACCAAATTGGGTCCATGTGTTGAAACATGGCCACCGCTATTCTAGTTCAATGGTTAACATTTTGGCTTCTTTCTACAAGCATCTATTCAACGGCAGACCTCATGTTTCCATTTTAAATTGATTTGAGTTCTTTACAACTCAACATTTATCCTTCCATTTCTCCACTGCTAATAAACTTGCTACTAAGATTTATCTATTTGTGATAGATTCTTTACCTTACAGGTATAGTTTGGATTGATTCACTTCTTTTGCCTTCAAGGACCTAAGCTTCCAATAGGTTGATAGCTTGAGGGTTTCACCATCACTGCTCCAACTTTTTGGAAAAAAATCAACCTTTTCCATCAAGTCTTTGGAGAATGGGCTTAAGGAATTATGGTTGTCAGGTTTGATCCGGCAAGTTATAATTTTATGCTTTCATTTATTCAGTGACCTTGTAGACCTATAGATGTGTCCTAATTTGAGGACTGGAGCTTTCATTGATGTCTGGAGAAATGGGCAGTATGTAAATGATGGAAATATTTTTTTAGGCCCAACTCTTATTTGCATTATCCAATCTAAACATTTGCTGAAAATCATTTGGATTCCCGGTCAACAACATGGCATCATCCACATAAAAACATACATCTATATTCATGTTCCCAACCTCTAACATCACAAGAAGCATTCCTTATACATAAGTACATTAAACAGCAAGGGAACATCATATATCCTTGTCTTGCTTGCTCCTGAATGTGAAACATTTGTGATGCATTTTATTTATTTATTTTCGGTAAGCTTTACTTAATATTTAACAACCAACCTTACCTCCATGTATGCTTTATCATACGCTTACCATAAATCAACCAATATATAATAACCTCTCTTTCTCACTTGCATATATCAAGCTATCACTACTCTTGACTGTAGAAATTCTTCATCCAACTACTGTATTTTCTACTATAAAGACCTATATAAAGAAAGCACAACTCACCGCGACCAACTCATTGTGGGAGAACTCGCCACAGCCAAGTTGCTGCAGGACAAAAATTGCATTAATATTGAAGAGATGGTGGAATACAATTATTAAAGAAAGAATGCAAAAGAAGGACAAATAAAATGTGAATGACAAACATCAAAATAATTGTTTAATGATTTTAAATAATTAAGTTGAATGGTTGAATTATCCTGCAGTGAATTGTCCTGCAGCAAGTTGACCATGATGAGTTGGTTGTAGTGAGTTGTCCAGGGGCGGGATGCAAATATTTTTACTACTGGTTTGTGGGAGTGGCTAGGTGGGAGTGGCTAGGTGGGCATGGCAATGTGACTGGATGGGCACGGCTTCTTCTTCTTCTTCTTCTTCTTCTTCTTCTTCTTCTTCTTCTTCTTCTTCTTCTTCTTCTTCTTCTTCTTCTTCTTCTTCTTCTTCTTCTTCTTCTTCTTCTTCTTCTTCTTTATTTTTATTTTATTTGGTTTGTCAAAGGCTTACAAGATAACAGGTATAAGTATAAACATAGTTATGAATACATGAAATGGATACATATAAGACAAATAAAAGAAACAATAGGACAGGGATGGTAGGCACCTTGGTGCGTTTATGCACGCCCCCTGCAGACCTCTTAGGAAAGGGGTAAGGTCAATAGTAGAAAGTCTGTTAAATTTTTTGGGGTTTGGGGAAGAAACCACAGAGTCAGGTAGAGTATTCCAGACATTGACCACTCTGTTGCTGAAGTCATATTTCCTGAAATCAAGTTTGGTGCGGTTAGCCATGAGTTTGTATCTATTGTGTGCTCTTGTATTGTTATGGTTGAAGCTGAAGTATTCATTGACAGGTAGGACATTGCAATGTTTAATTTTATATACTATACTTAGATTGGACTGAAGGCGGCGCAGTCTAGGTTTTCTGGGTCTAGAATTTCGAGTCTGGTGGCATAAGGTATTCTGCAACGAGTAGAGGAGTGGAGAACTCTTCTTGTGAAATATTTCTGGACTTTCTCAACTGTGTTAATATCAGATACGTAACGTGGGTTCCAGATTGATGAGCTGTATTCGAGTATTGGTCTAGCAAATGTTTTAAATGCTCTAGTTAGTAGTGTAATATTACCAGAGAAAAAGCTACATAAGATTAGGTTAACAACTCTTAATGCCTTTTTGACTATGTAGTTACAGAGAGCTCTAGCACTTAGATCATTAGAGATGAGTACTCCAAGATCCTTGACAGAGTTTGGATCATCAACAAGGTCTTGACTAGTCAGCCTGTATTTTATTTTCTGATTATTTTGCCAATATGTAAGACAGAGCATTTATTTGTTGAGATTTGAAGTTGCCATTTGTTTGACCATTCTGATACATAGTTGAGGTCTTTTTGAAGGGTAGCAGTATTGTCTGTGGTGTTGAATAGCTTTACATTGTCAGCGAAGAGAACGCAGTTGCTCTTAATATGATCACAGAGGTCATTTATGTGGAAATTATGAAGAGAGTTGGTCCTCGAACACTGCCTTGGGGACATCACTATTGACAGGTACAGAATTTGATAGGACGTTCCCAATTTTGACCATTTGTTGTCTGTTTGACAGGAATGCTTCTATCCAGCTATGCCGGTGTCCAGAAATACCATAAGATTTTAGTTTTAGGAGTAGCTTGTCGTGTACCACTGAATCAAAGGCTTTACCGAAGTCTATGTAGATTGCATCTATTGCTTTGCCCTGATCGAGTTGTGTAGTCCATATGTTTTTGCAGTGTAAGAGTTTCAGATTGCAGGATAGTTTTTTTCTGAAACCAAACTGTTTATTGGAGAGTAGGTTGTTTGTCTCTAAGTGGAGGATAATGGATTGGTTAATAATTGATTTCATGACTTTACAGGTGACGCATCATAAAGAAATTGGTCTGTAATTTTCAACTAGCCTGCAGTCTCCCTTTTGGGGATGACCGTGGCTTGTTTTTGCCCTCAGGAAGCTTCCCTGAGGCCTGGGAAAGCAAAAAAATGGAGATGGGGGGAGGGCATACTCCCCCATGTTCCCATTTTTGCCTCTTGGACTTCAGGGAAGCCTCCTGGGTGAAGTCGTAAGACAGCGAGGGGGATCCCGGCACAGCTGATCATTGGAACAGCTGATCGTCGGAAAGGAAAAAAATAGACATACTGGTTTAACCAAATGGTAGCATTTTTTACTACTGGTTCACTTGAACCGGGCCGAATCAGTAGAATTTCACCACTGGAGTTGTCCCATTCCAACAAACGTTACTCTCCTAGTCTTTCTTTTTCAAAAACAATATCCTGCTGTAAGAAAAAATTCCAATCTAAGAAAGGTTTACCTCCTGGGAAACTGGCTATAGAAGTTATTCCAAAACCTGGGTTAGCTTTTAGCTTGGACTTCAAGAATTTCATGCCGGTGGGTCCAAATCTGCAGGCGTATTGAAAAGAAGTAAGTTTTTTTCTTACAACACTATTCCTGTAGATTTTGATCCACTCACTCTGGAAGTCTCTTATCTTTTTCAGTGGTGTATCAGGATTCAAGGACTTTCAGCTTGAAGTAGATGAGGAGCTCATAAAAAGGGTAGGGAAAATTCAGAGATGAAATATATCTATCTTGCATCCTGGGTGGAAGATAGACAAGAGTAATCTTTAGGATTCTTCTTCAAATTTCAACTGTGCTGTTCTTACCTTCATATATTATCTTACCTTAACTCCAATAGCAATTCTTGAAAATTGCTCCTGATTTTGTAAACCATTCATGCTGTTTTCTTGGTAATCGTACAGAGTTGTTTTCTTGTGGGATCTTTCTTGTGGGATCTTTCTAGTATTTCCCAGTCGCCCTAGTAACTTCTAGTTCACTTCCATCCAATTACTAACCAAAACTAAACTTTTCAAAACCTATCCACAATATAGGTCACATGGTCATTCTGTGTGTGTATTTGTTCTTAATGGGGGTGGAGAGCGATTGCCTCTCTGTCTACTTTTTGATAGCTAGTAGCTTGGAAAATAATTAAATCCCAATGTACCATGAATGGAATAGAATGTAGAATGGAATGGAATAGAGTGTAGTGGAGTAGAGTGGAGTGGAGTTGAGTAGAAGAGAAGAACATTGTAAGAGATCCAAACCCAAACATTGGAAGATAAAGTAGAGTAAGGTAGAGTAGAGTAAGGTAAAGTAGAGTAGGGTAGAGTAGAAGAGAAGAGAAATATTCTAAGAGATCCGAACCCAAACATTGGAAGAACCACTCAACCTTCAATTCCTCTTGGATTTTCTCCTCCTCCACCAATTTGGCTGCTTTGCGATCTTCTGCCTCTATCTTCCATTTCTCTGCCACTATTCGAGCTTTCTCCTTTGCCATAGCATCACGGAACTTCTTTGTGATTTCAGCTTCCTTTTGTTTCCTTTCCAAAACCATAAAAGAAAGAAAGACAAGATAAGGAGGTGTAAGTCAACCCTGAATTGTCATTGAGAACAAAAGTCTAAGGATACTGGACTACCTTGGCCTGTATATATGTCATTATTATATGCACATATAATAATGTTCCATCCGTTGATGATTCTCACTGTCATAAGGATCAATTCCTCTTTATTTCCAGGTTGCTTCTCTCCTTGTTCAGTTTCCATCCACTATTCCCCTTCGGGCCTTCAGGTGCCTTGGAAAACAGCTTGACCCCTTACTCTATGTGGCAGCCCCTCAAATATTAGAAGGGTGCTATCATGTCTCCCTTGGTCCCTCTCTTCACTAGACTAGCCATGCCCAATTCCTGCAACCATTCATCATATGTATGTATGTATGTATGTATGTATGTATGTATGCATGACCCAGCTTAGTTTCTGAGCCCAAGCAAGATGTTATTTTCCACTGAGATTTTGGCATTTTCAGAAATGAGTATCCATTTCAAAGACAACATTATCCAGTAGAATTCCAAAAGAATTCTCATTCAGTCGTATTTTTGACAGCAGTATTCTAGAAGCGGTTTCTTTGCAGATACTCACCATAGCTCTTCTGCTTCCTTCTGAGCCTGCTGTCTGGCTCGTTCTGCAAGAAGCTCCTCTGAAATCTGCTCGTATGACTTGTCTCCAGGGGCTTCTCCCATGATCCAAACCCAGACCTCGCCATCAGATCCCTGAAGCCACTGGACGTGCTTCCTGTTACCTGGAAGAGCCATCCAGACACATTGCTAGGAGGAGAAAGCTGCAGAGCCCTCAATCAAAACAACCCAGGTCTTGAAACACAAAGAATGATATCTAAGCACTGGGCCTGTGCAAGATCATGGAGGAGAACTTCATTTCAGCAACGGTGCCTGCAAAGCATTTCTCTGAAGTTGCCTTGCAAAGCGACCTGGCCACCTGCTTCTAGAAAAATGAGCAGAATCTAGCCAAGTAGTTTTACTTTGCTGGGGAAAGTGGGTGCACTGTATCTAGAAGAGCCTAGGTAAAGTAGGATTTGAAGAGAGACTTCAGCATATACAGAGTAACAGAATTACGGAATAACAGCATTGGAAGAGACCTTGGAGCGGATCTATGTATTTCCTTGACTCTTTGGAATAACAAGATGCAAAGTATATATATCAGCTCTTGATAAGGATCTACAATGTCTACCTCCTGCAACCGTGTGTGTGTGTGTGTGTGTGTGTGTGTGTGTGTGTGTGTTCCGGCATAACTCTGGAGTGCCTCAAGCAATTTCAACCAAACTTGGTACATGGATGACTTACCCTCTGGGTGCAAATGCTGTGGGGGTAAGACACACGGAAACAAATGCTGTGGGGGTTAGACATGTCTAAAACCCATGGGTGGGTGTGTGCCTTAAAATGGTTTCTACCGTACAGCACAGTGCCATGGTAACGGCTTCACAGCACTCCAGTATTCCACAAGGGGGCTCCCCCTCAGCCCTCCAAGGAAATGTCAGGCGATTGGCCAAGTGCAATAAAAAAAAATGAAACACATTCATAGACAAGAAACTCCTGAGGAGAGGAATAGAAGAACTGTGATGCTGTGCCAGAGACAGTACAACAGCATGAATCCTGACTACAGAATTTTCCTGTCTCTTTCAGGATTGGGATAAATAAATACCCAGGCAATGCCGGGTTATTGGCTAGTTATAAAATAAATTTGAACACTGACCCTATTTGCCACAAGCTAATCTTTTTTTCTGGGTATAGACTGATACAATAAACTTACTCCCTGCAAATAAAGTTGTGGTTATTTTAAAATTGGCTTTCATGGAAGCAACATGGTTATTTCTGTTTTTCTTGTTGATCCAGACTTCTTACGGATAAATAAATGCCTTGTTGTACCGTGCCAATTTGTGTTTTTTTTCCTGCCATCGTTTTCAAATTATATACTTTCTTTTATTTTCTCAGCGGCGTGCTGAGCCTCGCCTCACAATCAGGAGGCTGTGAGTTTGATCCTCTGTGATATTTCTCTCTCTGGGTGCGGTGAGTAATTGTCTGCTGCAAACTCCACATAGGTGTCAGGAAGGGCATCCGGCCAATAAGCGCTTAAGCTCTTACCTCAATGCAAGGGATTACAGGGTCATTCAAAGAAACAAAATATTTTATTTTATTTTCCGATCTGTGATTTAAGACGCTGAGAATAGCTACACACATTAAACTGGTCTCTTCTCTATTTGCCAGCCAGAATAACCTTAGATCTGAAGGACCAGGTTAGAGAGAGATCATCAGGGACAAATTAGATTTATCAATATATTACACTAAAGGCCAACAATGACTTGAAGGTACATACTCAATCAATCAATCAATGACCCTTTATGTATTGGCTGAGGATTATGAGAATTAAAATCCAAGGTGAGTTGGGAACTGGTTGGGAAAGGTTCTTTGTTACCTCCTCTTATGTCTTTTTCCAAGAATAACATCATAGTAAATCAAGGTGTTTTTTTCCCCAGCTATTGTACCTGTGAATTCATTCAGTTTTTGGCTTCCTTTTTAATACATTTAAGATTCATTCGCTCTTGTCTCTAATGAGACTTGTTAAACTGTAATGCCTTATTATGCTTTTATATTGATAGGTTAATCTGTTTTGGGTACATAAGAACTTGCCTCCTGTTCTCCTTCCCACTGACTTTTTAAAATTTCATTCCTACATGTGTTCTGTTTATTTTATGACTATTATTAATCATTGGTGTTTTCCTACCTAGATGTTATCTACAGTTGGTTGTGTGTTTTAAAATTCACTTGCCGACTGAATCAAGCAACCAACCTTTTAATCTTTGTTCAAACTTTCTCTCCCCAAATACACTCATCTTTATTTTCCTTATGTCTATAATTCTTATATCCTCCTTTTTATTGTATTTATAATGCTCTCATATTGTATCTTATTTTACTCTTAAACCTATTTATTCTTCTGTCCAGATTTAGAAATACAGGAATACGGAGACGCAATGGTGAACTGAAGATGGCTGTACTGAGAGCAGAGGCAATAATCACAGTAGAATGGAGAGGCAGTGAAGAAACCTACTTAATACAATACAATACAGAATAACAGACTTGGAAGGGACCTTGAAGGTCTTCTAGTCCAACCCCCTGCTCGAGCAGGAAATCCTATACCATTATAGACAAATGTCTGTCCAATCTCTTCTTGAAAACCTCCAGTGATGGAGCACCCACAATGTCTGAAGGCAAGTCATTCCACTAGTTGATTGTTCTCATTGTCAGGAAATTTCTCCTTATTTCAAGGTTGGATTTCTCCTTGATTAGTTTCCACCTGTTGCTTCTTGTCCTGCCCTCTGGTGTTTTGGTGAATAGATTGATCCCCTCCTCTTTGTGGCAGCTCCTGAAATATTGGAACACTGCTTATCATGTCACCCCTAGTCCTTCTTTTCACTAGAGTAGATATACCCAATTCTTGGAATCCCACTCTGGACAAAGGGAGGATTCATGGACGTAATTCATAAGGCAGTCAATTAGGTGAAATAGTGTGATGTCTCCTCCCAGACGCTTCCCCAGATACCTCTCCAGATGTCAGCTCAGGGGAAGATGAACGAATTCCAGGCATGTCTGGAGGGGAGTTGGTCAATGGCTCTCACAGCCACCTGAGAGGGATTTGGCTGAAGCTCCAGGTGGGGAAATCACACAGGTGGGGAAATCACACAGCTGCAGCCAGTCAATGATGAGAAAGAGGAAGTGCCTTCTGCTCTGATCTAAGAACACTTAGATCAGAGCAGGAGCCAGCTGCCTCCTCGTGAGTAGTCTGCTGACTTTCACTGCTCCTGCTGCAGCTGTGCTTCGGCCAAATCCTTCTCAGGCAATTGCTTGGGGCCATTGACCAACTACCCTCCAGACATGCTTGGAATTAGTCCATCTGAGATGATATCTGGAGATGTATCTTTGGAAGCATCCAGGGCAGTAGTAGGTTTCAAAAAAAATTACTACCAGTTGGTGGGCATGGCTTGATGGGTGTGGTTTGGTGGGCATGGCAGGGGAAGGATACTGTAAAATCTCCATTCCCTCCACACCCCACTAACCTGCTTTCCAGCTCTGTTCTCCTGTGCAGGGCAACCAAGGAAGACCCAGCTGATCAGCTAGGACTCAATGGGAGGCAGAGAAGAGATGGGGTTGGCAGTCAGAGGTGGGATTTGCCAGTTTTCCGAACCACTCAAAATTTCTGCTACTAGTTCTCCAGAACTGATCAGAACCTCTGATCCAGGGGAGTCATCACAAATAGTTGCACATTACATGAATTGAAAAATAATGTCTTTAGGCTATGTGAAGGAACGATAATTCTGTGTGAAGGAACCATACCCTATGAGAGCATTATAAAGTCTTACTTCCAAGGGGATGATATTCCAGAGAAAGAGAACCTACCATGGAGAATGTTCTTCTTGGTCCCACCAGATGGACCTCTTTAATGGAGGAACCTCAACTGTCTGCCAAGTATCTTAGTGCAATGTTTCTCAGGGTTCCCTATATCACAGTCAACAGCTCCAAAGGTGCTAATGACCAAATGACTGCAAAGAATATAAACCTTTTTTGTTCCTCACCATTCAGTCAGAATTTAAGAAGGTTCTTGGATGAGAATTTTTTTCAAGGAAAACACCAAGAAAATCCAGCTGCCTCTTGAAAAAGCACCTTTGGGACAACCAAGATCTGGATGATGGAGAACCTTCATACAACATCACAGTCAATACCTTCAACGCACCTAACTAAACAGAAACCAGTGCTGTAGTCCAAAGATGTCAGGTTTTTAATCATGTAACATCTAAACCTAGTAACATATGGAACCTTCCAGTAAAGAAGAAGAAGAAAAAAAACCTCCACCATCCTCAGTTCCTTACAAAAAAAGAACACAAAGAATCAGCTTTAATGATGAATTGCTCTGAGCACCAATGATTCTAGCCCTTATCCAAGAAATTATAATTTTGGCAAATTCTGCTTTTGGCAGCCCGATTTGTAGCATCAGCTTTCCATAAGGCAGAAGGCTATGACTAATATAGCCCAGAAAATGAACCTTTAGTAGTACTTGTAAAATGTAGAGAATCATCTTTTTTGGAACCATAATATTTTCCTGTGCTTTTCCAGTTCTTTCTACGACAGATTAATAGAAATTGTTTCTGGCTGAAATTCATTGCAATGAACTCCAGAAACAAGACCTTAGAGAGCAATAGCAAGTTCAACACGGTGCTCTTGAAGAATCATTCATCTCAAATGAATTGCCCTGCCTACTATGGTGCACACCAGAAGCCGAGGTTGTTCCTTTCCAAGCTCGGGTTTGCAGGGGGAAAAAAACCCCTAAGATTTATTTTAAAACCTCAGCGTTTGCAAAAGACAAAGGTTAATCCACAGCGGACATGCTCAGCTGATTTTCTTATGAAGATCTCTGGAAATGTACGCACTCCATTAGCACCATCTATGTAGGTTGGGTGGCAACTTCACCCGTCTAGAAGGAGTCACATGTTTGGCAAATCATAGAACATAGAATAATAGAGTTAGAAGGGACCTCAGAGGTCTCCTGGTCCAACCCTGGCTTGAGCAGGATACCATATACCATTCCAGATAAATGATTGTCCAGTCTCTTTTTGAAAGCCTTCATTGATGGACTACCCACAATTTCAGAAGGAAAGTTGTTTGCTCTCAATGTTAGGAAATTTTTCCTTAGTTCTAGAATGCTTCTCTCCCTGGTTAGTTTCCATCCATCGTT